TTACTCACTACAAAGGTGTGTAAACTATATTATTTTAGAAGCTTGTTTCTGTCTGCCCTAAATAAAATTTAGTAGCCTAGGCAACAAGTGAAGTAAAAAGAGTGGATATTAAGATTGACTATGTTACGATCTTTCAGTGCTTTTATATGGATCTTTGTCTGACTTTAAAGTGCTCAAAAAGCATAAATAAAGTGCAACTAAATCATTAACTTATTCGACATACAGTGCCAAATAGTCAGGAGTATATGAGCCAAGATTTATTGAAAGTTAAGTAACAGTCATAATCGCAAATATTTGAGAAGGCATAAATATAGTATTTCGTTAAATTACTTTTCGCGTTCTGTTGTATGCCTTCACCTTCATTCTTCTTAAGTTGTTATATATTTTATGAGAGATTAAACATAGCGATCCATTTCTATGCTATAGCCTTTTCTCGTCTTTTATCTTTGGAGGAACAAGAGACACACAACCATATTTTTCGAGGTGTTTACGATCTAGCCAAGCGTGTGCACCCGTCTACCCACTCTCCACTGCACCGATAAAGGTACAGCCCTCTGGCCCCTCTATCGTGGAGCAAATGGCACCATGGTTATAGAGTGGACGGAAGTGCCGCTGGATGTCAATTGTGTACAGGCTGGGTTTGCCACCGTTAGAGGTGGTGAGGCGTCGAATCACGTTGCCGCCTTAGGAATCCATCAAACTGACTACTTCCTAAACTCTTGCCAAAACAGGGAGGAGCATTCCGCGTCAAGTAGGCGAACTGTGGACGATATTCTCTCGCGACAGTCATCAGGTCGATTGACGAAACGGCACGATAATTAGAATTGTTGATGCCAGCTGAGGTTAAAAAAATGTAAAAATGCGACATAACTTATTGCTTCTAATGGTGAACTGGGTCTACCAGTAGCGGGAAAGGCCCCAAATACGGTACCGCTTCATCCAGCTGCAGACATGACTCGTCGAAACTATGATACTGTTCAGATCACCTGCTCATTCGGCCATGAACTATTCAGGATCGATCTAGAGGCTCTTCTATACATGGCAAATTCCTACTCCGGCCGTAGGGACCCCCTCAGAGGTCTCAGTTGATAAGATCTATGACATACAGATTTGGCCGAAGAGAAATAATTGCCTATTTATGTGAAAATGAGGTCGTTTGCATCTTAAAAGTTGGC